ATTGCATACGATTTTGCATGGGCGACGTTACGTATCCCTCTCTCGTTTCGGGGGGGGGGGGAGAATAAAAAGAGAAAGCATCGGCGGCAGGATTTCGTGTAGGAAGAAAAAAAAGACGAAAAGGAAGAAACATGCATGTCTCACGAGATATTCTACGCGACTGATTGACCTGTTGGAGGATAATTCCGGTCCAGACTCCGGCCAAATATTGTTGTCATCCGCAAGAAGAGGATAGAATTTAGATTGATGCGCGCTTCAACACTTTAATTTGTGCAATCCGTTATGATAGATAAGTAACGATGATCAAGAGAACGAAGCGATTAGCATAAGAGGCGACGCCGAGGCGCAATTAAGCGCGCGCTGGTTATATTTAGTACGGATACGTGCCGTCAAAAAGTCGTCGGATGAATTTTTATTGACATTCATCACGCAAGACAAAATTAACATACATGACATATACGCATTAACTCTTAGCCTGAAACGTCAATCAATGAGATCAATAGTACCTTCTCTTTTATTTCCACTTATTGTGCGCTTCCAAAACATAGGAGTAAAAATTGAAATTTTTTTGTAATAGCTGAAAATATTTTTTGACAATAATTAAAAAAAATTAGGCAATTTTGCTCCGATAAAAGTTTATAAAAAGTTTATTATTATCGAGAATTAAATATGTTAATCTTCTAGCTTCGACGTGCATGCTGTTTTTATATAAAACAGCATGAAAAATAAAATTACGTAACTATCAAATGGACTCTTAAGAAAAAAAATAAGGAAATTAAGCTATGAAAATTATTAAATAATGAAAATCGTTTAAGCGAAGCCTAAGCGAGACTTTGATATTTATTTTCCATTAGAAAACCATATATGCATAGATTTCAAACTAATTTTTTTTTAAGTAATCTTTCTTCCGTTACACACGTGGAATATATACGATGCATTTTATGCATTATGTCATACTTATTCTTTGTTTATTTTTGGGACGCTACCTTTTACGGTAGCGATAGAGGAATAAAACAAACGAAGAACTGATGTTCTTCTCGCACTGAAATAAACCATCAAAAAACTCTTATTCGAAGGACGCCTGGCGTCTCTTTATTTGCCTGCCAAGGTCTCCGGCGGCACCTTCCGCTCTTTCCAAACGACGTCTTTTTCTCTATCTCCGTCTTCTTCTCTGTCTCTCTTACGCTATATATTCACATACGTGAATACACTGTCCATTTTCAACCGGTCAACGTCCGGTCAGTCTCTTGGCCGTCAACTTGCTGCACGTGCAGTACGATTTCTCTCTTCCTCCACTACTCCATTCTTGATTCTCTCTCCCCTCTCTTTCTCTTTCTCTTTTTCTCTCTTCATCAATATCTTGTTAATAAAAAAATTTAGCTCGTTAAAATAAGCTTACTAGATACAATTCGTTATTTTCATTTTTATCTATTATAAGTAATTCATTTCAACTTTTTTTAAACAATTGATTTTTTTTAATTAAACAATGTAGAAACGTCAGTCGCGCTGGGATTTATACAGTTTTTTTCTTTTTCATTTGTTCTTTTTTGTTTCTACGTGCAACCATCGGTGCACTTTTATTTTTTTCTCTCACTTCTTTATTTTTTTCTTTATTATTTCATTTAATTAACCTTCAAGATTGTATTATGAATATACTTTCTTAACCGATTTTTTTAAATATAAGGCATTTTATTAAGTTTTCAATACGAGATTTGTAATGTTAGCTTATTCATAATAAATATTTTAAAACGCATCACACAGGGAAAGATTATTAATTCAAAAATATAATTTTTAAGAAATAAATAAGTAAATAAGTAAAATTAAAATAAATAAGTAAAGTTTTATTTTACAAACCTACTCCTTAATATTCTAATTTACTTTTATTTATTTATTTATTTTATTTATATATATTATTTTGCGTTGCTTAATATTTTACTTGTATTATTTTGTTCGCGTTTCCGTACATGCACACATTATTTATCAAATTCTTGTTCTGGTTTCATTTCTCGTTCTGAAACGTGTTCTAAATTGATATTTCTTCCCATCTTTATTTTTCCTCTTTCTCTTTCTTTCCCTTTATTTATCATTCTTTTCTCTTCTTTTCTCTCCTTATCGCGTTATGTTCACATTATTTCTCTGTTTTTTTCATTCTTTCCGCGAAGTCCACGGTTTGCATCAATAAGATGTAGAGCGGATCTAGAGATTATAGTATGGTGATTGGTCAGACATAAACTATTTTTATACGACATCGCGGGTCGGTGATCGTAAAAATGATTAAGGATGATCGTAGAAAACGTCGTAAATACAAGTGACACGTGCATATTCGATAAATATCAAATTTTTATTTTTGTAAAAGAGAACATCAAAAATCTTTTTTCGAAAAATTCTAATCTGCATGTACTTTCACGAAAATATAAGTAGTAGATAAGCAACAGATAATTTCAAAGAACTAAGAGTTTTGTAATTATTTGAATTTTGCTATTTCTCCTTGTTTTATTTTGGCACTTATTAATTTCTATTCTTTTCATTTTCTTAATGTTCTAATATAATATTTTATTTAAAAGTTACACAAAATAGTTTAGAATATCTTTTATTATTTACGCAACAAAATTTGATTAAAAATAAAACTCCTGCTGATTTATCAGTATTCTTATAAAAGAATGATGGTGCATGAAAAGTCATTCTCCGACCTTCAAAGTGCATCAGAGAATTATAAAGAATTGTATTATACGATGTTATTGCAAAACTGTTCGACCGAAGATCAATGGAATTTCGAGGACAGTAATAGATTAATCTCGTCAATTTGATATGATTCCTTCAAGAATTGGATCAATGAACTCTACGAATAATAAACGCAAATATAAAGCAAAAAAAATCTGCAGAAATAATTAACAGATTTTTATCCGCAGACTTTTTTTTGCTTTTAGATTCTAAGAAAATTAATCCGTATTAATGTAGAGAAATGCAGAGAAGAATGAGGAAGTGCAATGAAAAGAAAAAAATTATAATTATTGACATTATAATTGCAAAGTGTTTCTGAGCATCTCAGTGAGAATGAGATGACTGCATATAGTGAAAAAATAATTTGTAAATATACGCACGCATCTTGGATTACATTAGTAGATAAAACTTTTGTTATGAACAAAAAATATATGCGTTATTATTTAAAAGTGGCGTTCTACGTAAATGCCAATTATATAATTGCAATTTTAAACAAATGGAGTATTTATAAAAGATCTTATTGAAGCTGAATCGTTTGACTTTAAGTCAAAAGCGAGATATTTTTTAGAACGTGATTTTATGTAATTTTCTAAATTTCATCGAACAATCTGTTTGCTTTAGAGTTTTTCCAGAAGTTGGTGAAATGGGCGCGCGAGTTTGGTGACATTTATCTGCTCTGGGTCGGTCTGCGGCCCTTCATCTTTCTCTACAGAGTGGAGGCGGTGCAGCCTTTACTCAGTAGCAGCGTGCACATCGACAAGAGCCTCGAGTACCAATACTTGAAGCCTTGGCTGGGTACCGGCTTAGTGACTAGCACTGGTAAGTGATTTACGTTTCGCGAAGGCCACATTGCGATGGCAAAAGATTATTAATAAAGATTATTAATTGTCGTATATCGATGAAATGATTAGATTCAGACAGACAACTTCGAATTACGCTTTGAATTACATTACGACATTTTTGCTATTTGCATTTAATGGAATAAACAATGCCAATGGATATATATATATGCAATAAATACTGCGTATATTGAATGAATAAATTCGCATAATATGAACAAGATGCAGTGTATTTTCAACATTTTTATTCATTCTGCGTATAAATAAATTTGCAATGTATGAAATATTATAATCATCTCCAGATAAAAAAATGCAAGACTTCGATATAAATATTTAACTATAAATAAAATATGTATGTATAAATAAAAGAATGTTTATGAAAATTTCAAACGAGAGAGGGAGGGAAAGAGAGAGAGAGAGAGAGAGTAGAGAGAGAGAGAGAGTAGAGAGAGAGAGAGGAGAGAGGAGAGAGAGAGAGAGAAGAGAAAAAGAGAATATCTTTTTTATTTAAATTTCAATGTGAACCTTTGTGTCTTATTGGCATATGCTTCCTAAAGAATATACAATCGCTGATAATTACAGGTGTAATTACCAAGTTTGCAAACAAAAAATGTAATATATTAACAATGATAAAGATAACATTAAAAATATTCAGCTGTACATTGATGAAAATTATGCTATAAATAAAAGCAATAAATAATTGAGAGTTACGATCTCAATAAATGGATATGGTTTTTGCAATTTTATAATTATTCATAAATCATAAATCATAATTGATATCAAAATATTAGTTTCTTTAAAGAAAATAAATAGTTTTGTTTTATGAAAAATATAATTTAAATTGATAAAAAAAATTATATTAAAATAAGCATTAATTAAAAATTATATTTATAAAATATGTTTATAAAACTTTTATAACAATACGACATTAAAAATTATAGTAATTTGTAAATGTATTATTATTTAAGTTATTATATAGACAATTATATAACAATTGTCTAAGTCTTGCAGTTCATATTATTATCATTGATTATTATATATCATTGATTATTATCATCGATAATATATGTAACAAATTAAATATTAATATTATATATTGCATAATATTATGTAATATTAATATTTAATTTGTTTAATATATCACAAATTCGGTTGATTTAATAATTATTGATTTGTTCAACAATGTTATATTAGCGCGAGAATATGAATAATTATGAAAAAAGTGATTTGTAAATCAATTCAGTATTTAAATAGCGAGACCTTGTCACAAGTTCGCAAAAAGAGATATCGTCATTGATTTTGCCTTTATAAGCAAAGTTGTTACATAGGTGAGTGAAACAGAAATTTTACAAAGAAGACTTTGCGCCATATTCGAAGTAGTTGCAAAAGCATTTCAAAAATTTGTGCAGATACAAATGTACTTTGGTTAATTTCTTATACGACGTTATCTCATTATTGAACTGCTTATCCCCTTGAATACGTAAGTTGTTTTCATTTTTATCTCGCAAACACGAGTATACCACAATGTAAAAACATGACAAACAAAGTAGAAACCCTTTTCATTTATTCGCGTTCATTAAGATAAGATGACCTGACCCAGAAATATTTTTGTCTTATTTTGTCATTTGCGCATCACAACAGAACTACCATTTTGTTATGCTAATCAATTTTAGATGCGAATACAAAAAAATAGCATTCGAACTACAATGCTGTTTTTTTAATGTTTTATAAATTTTTCAAAATAGTAAATGATTTAAGATTTCACGGGCTGATTAGAAAAAGATTAATAATTCTAATTTCGCGAATTTTTCGTATAAAACTATCAAATCTTTGTTCTTAATTTTAGCGCGGTGACAAGTGTCATCTAAATAAAAATGAAGATACATTGTTTTTATACATATTATTTATAGGTGAGAAATGGCACTTTCGCAGGAAGCTGCTGACGCCGACCTTTCATAGCGGCCTTCTCGAAGTATACTTGAAAACCGTAAAAGAAGAGGCGAACATCCTTATTTCTTGCCTCAAAAGAGAAGTAGACAAATGGTTCGACGTTGTTCCTTATTCGAAACGTGCTGCCCTTGACATTATATGCGGTGAGTCCATGAGATAACGTAATTTTTTATTTGAGTATAAAAATATAGCAATTCCACAAAAGAAATGATGCAGCAAACATTTTATCGGAGAGACAAACTTTATTGAATATAATTTAGCAACGATTTATAATAACTTATCATTTCGGCCCAATTTTATTTAAATATCTTTGGAATTTTCCTTGTTCAAACAAATAACAACTGCTTTCGCTGATTATTCATTGCAAATAATCCTTCCCTCTAATCAGTCACATCACTTTTTGGATTAAGGTTTCTTTTTTTGGTTCAATTCGATAATAATAATGCTTCTATCCGAATTCATATTGTTAAGACGATATAGCGACGACAATCTTTTCATTTCTTCCGGAATATATCAATGTACCTTTTCGTTTGAATCTTCTTCATTTGACGCTGATCGATGTTCAAAATCGAGCTGAAAAAAATCGCATTATGCTCTATTAACAGTAATCTGTATTTAAATTTTCAAAAGTGGAGATCTTATATCAAAAATAAAAAAATACATTAGATCTTCTTTATCTAATAAGAATGGAATTTTTCTTCTTCGATTCAAATTTATTTGGCGCATTTTTACCACGTAAATGGAACTTAAGAGTGACATAAGTAATATCTTCTAAGAGGAAAGACGCAAGAGTGATACATCTCAGAGAAAAGACGCAAAATCAATATTAACGAATGAAGGGGATTGACATAAATGATATATTAAAAGATTGCCCCCGCAGTGGCCTTCAGCTGCTCTGATTAAAATACTCAAACACTTTGGGATTTATTATTTTATGCGCCAAAGTGATTGCGGTCGCAAAAATATTCGAAAGTACTCTTTCTCATCATTTTAACAATACAAATAATATTTTATAATTTAAAACGAAAAAGATATTTTATAATATATTATTTTATTATAAAATATTATATATTTTATAATATATTAAAATAAAATTATTACCGTAAAAATCCTTGAAGTAATTTCGTCATTTTTAATTTAATTTTTTTCCATTGAATTAAACAATCTTGCCTTGATACGAGAAGGATTCATTTACTTCGATTTTGAAAAGTCGCGAATTTTTATATTGCACGATCGATATAACTTGTGTTTGGATAACTCGAAACGTCAATCTTTTCGCGACTGCGATAACTCAATTACTCGCTGCGTAGCTACGACATTTTGCAATCAACACAACATAATGATATTTAATTAACATTTTTTATTATCTAGATTTATATATATCAATTAGCAATTGTTCATATTCCGCGCCAAATATATATGTTTGCAATCTATTTATTTCTAATCATTTATTTTTATTTATTTTAAATTTTACAAATTTTATTGCAAGAATTATTTTTGATATAAACATTTATACAAATCAAATAAAAAAGAAATCGTGATACTGACAAAACTTTAAAGACAGCTAATTATTTTAAATGTAGATTACTAATTCACTGCTTTAAGCGCACTTGAAACAAAATGGACGGATTTCAGTGCGGAATCAATTTAGATCACTTTTAAACACGCAGGCTCGCCTATACAAGATGTCAATTTTGGAATTTCGCTTTTCAAAGCGTTTTGGGAGGGGAGGGGTTCAATTTCTTTTACGCGAGACCTTGATTGAGCCAATTGATTTGTTCGCTCTGTTATTTCATAAAGCAACGCGGATATTTTTACCTAAATAAATAATAATTTTATAGCATACATCTATATATTTAATCATGAATCAATTAAACTTTACAATACAGAGCATTTGCTTGTAGCTTAAAGATATGCGCTCAGAACAAAAATAATTATTTCAACTTTATTTTGGCTGTTTCTTTCATAGTTTTTTTTTTTTACCACTTGCATATAAAAGGATAAATTAAAATGCTAAAAAAAAATTGTAAATAAGTATGAGAGTGGGTTTCTGTAAAATAAGCTTGGATGAAGTAATTTCTCGTCGACTTAGTCAAATCTGGTGGATCATTGTTAGGCTTGTAGTTAAGCGGAGTAGATAGTCGTGAGACTGACGACATAGAGATAACCTTTTTTTATTTAGGTTTTGAAAATTGGCGGACTTTCGCAACCTCCTACAACGTGCAACCTCGAGTCCTCATTATGCAAAAGAATATTCTTCTCGTTCGTTTGCTCTGTCATGATCAATGAATCTTTATCGACTTGATTAGACTTTACGAGGTTATCCATGCTCTGATGAAATGTAATTATAAATATGCCATTTATTTGCAGTCGTAAGGCGATATCTTCTTCAAGAAAATAAATATTTGTACACTTTCATGAATCAACAATATTTTTCTTTATGTTTTTATTGGTCTGTTTTTATTTATTATTTAGTACTCGGAATTTTTAATTGGCAATAAAAAAGGGGATGAAACGATCGATTGTCGCTATCCAATCGTTTATTGATCTTAAATATTTTGATAAAATGACATTAAACACATGTAGTGCAAAATAAACACACGTTTCACACGTGATCTGTATATTACGATTACGTCATCCACAATATTATCACAACACACTTAATTGTTATCAATTTTCAACGTAATACGTTATATTTTATTATCTTGGGCATTATTGTAAATGATTAATTTAATGTCATTAAAATAAAACTATTTTTGCAATTTGTAAACAATTACTTAGCTATACATTATATAAAATGTTTCAATATCCACACATAGAATTCTATCTCAAATCTTTGTAAAAAATAATTTTTTCTTCCGACAAAATTGCATCCAAGCAGTAGATTCCTAAATAAAAACTAACAAAAATTGTTGATTTATTATCATAAAAACTGTCGATTGTATAACATATCGTATATTTTGATGTTATGTCACAATAAAATTTTTAATAAAATTTTAATAATTAATGAATAAATAATAATAATTAATCCTTGATTTATTTTAATAGTGAATTATTATATTTGATTGCAGATACTGCAATGGGCTACAAATTGAATGCACAAAAGAATTCCAAGGACGAATATGTCGAAGCTGTGGACAAGTAAGATCGCAATTCTTTCAATATTGTTTTCATTTATATTGATATTTTGATACAATTTTCTATATATATCGAACTTTATTTAAAAAAAGCTTGTTTCTAATTATCAGAATTGCATCTATCGTACAGATGCGCTTCACGAATGTATGGACACAGTCGGATACGATTTTCAAGTTGACCAAAGCGGGACAGGAGCACGACCATTCAATTCAAATTATACAGGAATTTGTCGACAAGGTAATAATAATTCTTAAATCTTAAATCGAGTGAGTGTAAACAACTAAGGTCTTTTAACAATTACTATAGATTTATACAATTACTCTCACGAGAGATCTTGCAAAGAAACATTGCAAAGTTGCAAAAATAACAAATAGAAATTAATAATAATTGTATTGTTCGCAATTTCAATTCTATTTTATACATATCTTTACTTGTCTATTAATCAAAACCACAATCGTTGATTCTAAACTTCAATTTTAATTTGTTTTGTTTTGAATTTAAACAATAAAATATTTATTTTACAGCGTAATTATATTATAATTTTTATTTTTTCATTATGCGCGCGAATACGAAAAAAATTTTATATACAATATATATATCTGCTAATTTATATTTCTCACTCTTCAACTCTAAATTTTCATCAATAAGATATTAATTATTAAAAAAAAAACATTTTTCCAAAGATAGTTTTATTAATGCTGAAAGTAGTTTCATTTAGGTCAAAAAGTCTTTTTTTTTAATTAGAAAAAATATATATATTAAATTTTATTCTGTTCATAATTCTGTCCCTTACTTATTTATTAAACTGACTTATTAATTAAACTGATAAAATATCCGATTTCGAAGTTTGCATATAAGTTCAAAAAAAAGATAATCTATAGGTAATAATAATAAGATAGATAATAATCTATATCTAGTAAAGATAAAATCTAATTTACAGGTAATTGTGGAAAGGAAGGCCGAATGGAAACTCAAGCGAGATGATAACTTCAATGATTCGACGAAAAAGAAGCGAGCATTACTGGATTTACTATTGGAAATGTCGCAAGATGGTGCCATTCTTTCGGATGAGGATATTCGCGAAGAAGTAAATACATTTATGTACGCTGGACATGACACAATGGCCACCAGCATATCCTGGACACTTTATGCATTGGGTCGACATCCGGAATACCAAGTATGTTCTTTCATATTGCGTTGCATTCTGCAATTCAATACCCGATAAATCCAAGTTGATTGGCATTATCTTGCTATATTGCTAATATAACTTTTGATGACATTAATTAAAAAAGTTATATTTTTTGCATTTCACATGCACGTTAGATAATTCCTTAAAGAAGATTTAATTGAACGTTTTAATTAAATGTTATCTCTTTTTTAATTAAACGTTATATATTTATAATATTGATTTAATTTATATAAATTATTATTATTACTTTCTCATTTTCTCTTTAGGAAAAGATTCTAGATGAATATAACAGTGTGCTTGGTATGGCTGAGATTACATTGGAGAACATATCAAAATTAACGTGGTTAGAGGCCTGCATCAAAGAACAGTGGAGAATATACCCAGTAGCCCCGCTTATCGCTAGGCAAATTTATAAGCCGATTGAGATAAGTAAGTATCTCACATATATCTTATACATCTTCACAATTTCTGAATTTATTATATCAATATGTTATACTATATTATTTTAATCAATATCATATTGTATACTAATAGATACTAGTGGAGCCTTCGGTTCATTGAACAAAATCGAATAATAGATAATAATATTTAAAGTACGTTAAATGATCGTCACATTTGCACGCAATTTGCATATAAATGTTTATCTATCTTTACTCATTTTTAGTGGGCAATCAAATCCCACCAGGTTCGACGGTTCTCATCAACTCCTACTTGCTACATCGTGACATCCGTTATTTCCCCGAGCCGCATATTTATCGTCCGGAGCGATTTTTGGCCGATGGCCCAAAACTACCCCCTTATGCCTTCATTCCCTTCAGCGCCGGCTCGCGCAATTGCATCGGCTGGAAATTCGCCACGTTGGTCATCAAAGTGGTCGTTCTGTCCGTGCTGAAAGCTTTCCACGTGGAATCTCTCGACAAGGAGGACGAACTGCGCCTTATATCCGAATTGGTGTTGGTCAACGCAAACGGAATTCGTCTCAAAATTACACCGCGCGAACGATGAAGAGCGATTCTTCTTTCTTTCACACTACCAATTATCTGATTTATTTTCTTCCGAGTGGCGTATAGGCACCAAGATGAATCGAGGAATTTCCTTCTTACTAATTTTCGAAACACACAAGAGGAAATATTATTATTTATCTAATACACAAGAGGAAGTTTGTTTTTTGAAGATTATTTATTATCATAGTATCTGAACATGGAGGAATGAAAATAAAATGTACGTAGAAAAGAATGCACTCAGTTTTGTGCCCCTGCGTTTTCTTTTGTTCGCGAAAAGGCAGGAGCACAAATCCTCCATCATCCCGCAAATAATAATCATTCTAGATATATTATGTTTATGTTTATTATTAAAGATTGCTTGATTACATAAAAATTAATAATATGAAATATAATTTAAGGCCAATATTTTTCTTGTAAAATTTATTATATGGCTCTAAATAAAAAAAGAATCATTTAAAATACGCAAAAGCAAGAAAAATGTCATTTTATATCAACATCATATTGGTCTTAAATTGAATTTAATTATTTATAAGCAAATCATTTATTGCTCTAAAATAATTTATAAAATAATTTACTTTGTACAAAAATAAAACTTTAATTTTAATTCTTAATTAAAAAAATCCGCTATATTTTTAAAAAATTAAAAAAAGAAACAATATAGCTGGAAATTAAATTATGATCTGTCGTTTAATAGATAAATAATTTTTTTAATTTGCCCATCAAGATTATAAAAAATTATATCTATATTTTGCACAGTACTTATAAAATTAATATCTTAAAATTAAAATTAATAACTTATAAAATATATCCTTTGTAATTTATTTCGTTTGATTGTTCAAAATCAATCAAAAGCTAAGAGAATCTATACATTACTCAGAAAGAAGATAAATATTAATTTGCGTTTAATGAATATCTATTTATATCTTATAAATATATATTTTGAATTGATAATGATATATCATATATAAAAAGATCCATAAAAAGATGAGGATATTAACGTTTCGAACTGAAACAATGCGAATGTTGATAGTATAAAATAAAAAAAAGATTGGAAAAATGATTTTCTGATATTTTGTATGAGAATGAGTGAATGAGAAGAAAATGTTATGACAATATACAATTAAATATACAATTTAATGTCTATGCGCGTTAGTTATGAAAATTTTTTAAATTTTAGTTAATTTTAGTTTTTCATTTAATGTGAACCAATATGTCATAAATATAGGTAGAATTGATATAAAATCATTAATTACTAGATCTATAATTTAATTATTAAATCATATTTCACAAATATCAATGATCAATCTAATATTATTATACAATGCGCATCACAAAAGTTATTTTATTATATTTTATAAGAATTTATAAATATTAAAAAATTAAAAATTTTTTAAATTTAATTGCGATACGTTTATATTAAAATTAAATTAGTGACGATATATTATGTAGAATAAAAAGAAACAACATAAATTATATTTCTCGATATGTTCCATGAATAATTAACGATTGAATGCAGAATTTCGAAAGTGCACACTTGATGCATATGAATGATGAAAATAAAACATTGCTCTTTTGCTACAATGGTAATTGTAATACCTGCTATTCAATAAAATTATTAATAAGATTACGAATAAAATTATTGATGTTAATGTTTAAGAAAATTATTCCACTAAATACATATATATGTATGTATACATCTAATAGAATTTTACATAACTGTGAATAAGTTATTTGTATGTACAAATCTTAATTCAATTTTATAATTATTCAATGCAATGGTAACGGTTGATGTGCCATCGTCGGATTACAGCTGTTCACTTATAAATAAATCCTATCATGCATACCTGTCATGCATACAGAGTCACAACGCATGCTCAGTTCGCTGCTGACAGCAGATGCTTATGTCGCTATGACAGATTTTCTAACCAAAAAAGCGGTCAACTTTAACGCTTAATATCTCGGTTCGCGAGGCAGATCGTCGCGTTTTTCTGCCAGATTCTTTTGTTTTAAGTGAAACCGCGTCGATTGAGCCCAATTTTATCGATTCACATTGTCATTAATTGATAATAGCAGTTGGCTCTCTATTAAGATTATTAAAAATATATAATATAATCTCATCATAACTGGCAATTAATTAATTTTAGTTAATCTAATAGTTAGAGCTAACTCCGATAATTAGTAATTGCGATAATTGCGATAATTAACAAGGAAATATATATATCTAAAACTTATTTAACAAATGAAAAATGGACAGCATCTCCGTGTGCGTAAATATAGGAAAAAACGCTGGTGCGCTTGTGCCTGGCCGCGCAACGTCACACCGCGTCACACCAACTCGCAATCGTTCACCGTCACTGGATGACTGGATTCAATGTGATGTGCGCCAAGGAAGTGGAATTCTCGACCAATCTCGACGTTACGGCAACGTGTTATCACCCACAAATAAGAGTCTTACGAGTATGAGGAGCACGTTAAAGTACGTGGCTGGCGGACAGTTAGAGGACATTACGAATACGAGAACGTGGCGCGATGCGACGGCATATTTGAGTGCGCGGAAGGTCGACGAATAGTTTCAGCGTGTTGCGATATCGCGACGACCGATATATACATATGTATGCATGATATGCGCGCGTAATCCAATCACACGATACATCGCATTATTACATCGCTGATACTTGCCTAGCCGCTGGGCACAGCGTACCGATGGATCGCGCGCTGCGTACTGGCGGTTCTCCACGCGGCTCGTAGGTTAGTCCGCAACTTCCGGGACCGATAAGGAAGAAGGAAGAAGGTGAAAGAAAAGTATCTAAAACCGAGAGCACAATGCGGGCAACTGTCGCGGTGATCTGCGTCTTCCTCGGCTGCTGCACCAATGTCGTGTTTCTGGAACTACTTGTCAAGTGAGTAACCGATGACTCCGATCAACCTGACATACATTGCATAACAGCAGAACATCGTATATGTAACGTGCGTTATACGCTACGTAATAAAACTTTTTTATCATTTTTTTTTTTTATTAATAAATTATGTCTCATAGCGTCCGTCATTTGACGACTTGTCCATTTCTATCAATATGGATTAACTTCGGTTTCAATTTACTTTTTAGTTGTTTTTTTTATCTTTCTTAGTTCTAATCCCCTTTTCTATCAGTGTAAATTAATTTTAACTTTTTAAATTTAAATTTTAAATTTTAACTTTTAATTTTTAACTTTTCTGATTCTTAGAACTAAAAAAAAGATGAAAAGTAAATTAAACTGAGATTAAAGTTAATCCAGATAAAAATAGGTATAAGGAGTCTCTTTCACTATCATCAATTAATTTAATTGACTAATTATTCCATTGGAATTGATCAATTGTATTTATCATTAAATTTGTGAATAAATGGAATAATCGGCCGATTGAGTTAATCAAAGAACTATTAAAGATGAAAGAGACTTTAAAAATTAGACTTTAATCTCAGTTTAATTTTTCTAATTTATTCTTTATCTTTCGAAGTTACTCTTTATTTTTTTAATTTTTAGAATTTAAAAGATAAAGAGTAACTTAAATCAAGATTAATATGTTAATCTGATAGAAGTAGACATTATATAACGATGAAATATTTGCTATTTGTAATATTTGGTTCAAAAACAATCCTATTACAAAGAGTATTACTATGATATAATTATGTTTATTTATCATCACTAAATATCTTATACATTTCGTCTGTTCTTTAAATAATTCTTTCAATAACATATTTATTTTGTTTTAAATGTAGAAAATAACATGATGTATTGTATTATTATTGCAAAACATAAACATGGACCTAACAACAAAATTGTTTGATTACCTGATTTTAGGGATGATCCTGGCAGTGGGAATCTCATCACATTCGCTCAGTTCCTTTTCATAGCTATCGAGGGATTCTTGTTTACATCTAAATTTGGCACTGTCAAACCAACTATAGGCATAAAAGATTATTTTATTTTAGTTGTAATGTTTTTTGTTGCCAATGTTTGCAACAATTATGCATTTGACTTTAATATTCCTATGCCTCTGCATATGATATTTAGAGCTGTGAGTATCAATAGATTTGATTTGATGACACAAATTGCCATATTTGTTACTACCCTATATATAAATACACTGTACTTTATTGTTTTTACTATATTATATTATGTTGTTTTTTAGGGTTCTCTCATAGCCAACATGATTATGGGTATTATTATTTTAAATAAAAAGTATGCGTTTAGCAAATATCTATCAGTATTCATGATCACCTCGGGAATAGCGATTTGCACAATCGTTAGCGGTAAAGAAATTAAATCCTTGCAGCAGAAAAATGTAGAGCAAGTGCTCACGACACCATGGGAAGATTTCTTTTGGTGGACTTTGGGCATATCTTTACTCACAGTTGCTTTATTCGTTTCTGCTAGAATGGGTATTTACCAGGAAGTACTGTACAGTCGATACGGTAAAAATGCGCGAGAAGCTTTATACTATACGGTAAGCCATTCCTTATTTTTTCTTGTTATTAAATGTCATGTTAATCGTCAATATAAAATTTTTTACAGCATTTATTACCCTTGCCGTTTTTCCTAACGCTAATGCCTAATATTTATGATCACTGGAACTTCGCACTCGCATCTGAACCATTAAGATTGCCTCTGATTGGCGTGCAAATGCCATCGTTACTTGTATATTTAATTGGAAACATTTTGACGCAGTATCCTTTTCTAAATGCAGTCGTGTTTTATTACATTATGCATACACATATACCAAGTGTTTTATACGAAATGTTTTCCTTAATTATATTTTCAGATATATGTGCATCAGCTCTGTATTTGTTTTAACCACAGAGTGTAGTTCTCTTACAGTTACTTTAGTGATAACATTGCGAAAGTTCCTTTCATTGTTATTCTCTATACTTTATTTTAAGAATCCGTTTACTATATATCATTGGATTGGTACGTTACTAGTCTTTATAGGTACGATTATTTTTACGGAAGTGATACCAAAGATTACACAAAGCTTGCAGATATTAAAAACGAAAAAGGTGGAATAGGTATGTTAAGAGTAAGACAAATATCTTTTATTCTTATCGATTTATAACTGTAAATGGCATTTTATAGTGGTTGCATTATTTACGTACGGAAAACAGCAAGTACAAAAAATTCTGAAGTATATATTATGCAAAAATGATCAATACCTGTTCATTGTTTTGTATAAATGCTTTTATAAAATAGAAAATTATATTTGAGAAATGCGTAATCCCTCTACCTCAATTATATTTTCATAATTCAATAATTATTTATTAATGAATAAAAGAAATTGTACTCTTGCTCCTTTTATCACTGCATACGTACCTGATGTTTTATTGATGCTTGTATATAAATCAGGCTATCGTTTAATCAATAATTTCGCAATTTTATGGTTTTAACGATGCAAGTATATTTCCAGTTCATAGTATATATATATATTTTTTATATACAATAAATATATATCTTTTTCTATCTAGCAACAATTTAATTTAAATTCGATATCAGGGCACAGTGTTCAAGTGTTATAGATCACCATATCGCTTAATTTAATTTCTTAATTAGGCTCGTTGTTTGGAAAGTTCTCTCAGAAAATGGCAAACGCAAAATACGATGTGAAAAACGATAAAGTTAAAATAAAAAAAAAATATACGCCGCATAATCATGTTAATATCGCTGTATTATAACTTGGCACGCATACATATATAATATATATATATATATATATATAGCTTGTAAAAGTCTTAGTTACATGTAAATTAAATTAATTTTCTATTTACATTGTCTATTTATGGAAAGAAGAGTGGACAATGGCACGAGTTAATTATCCATATACGAGCTAATTATCAGAATGCTCGTCGAAACAAACATCATGGACGATTTTATGATATAAATGTACAAAAATGTAAGAAAATAAAGTTAAAATCTAAGAAAAGAGTATCGCTGTCACTAAGCACAGCCGAAATGTGAAAAACAGATTTATCCTATTACGAGTTTAATGTCAAGAGAAATGAACATAATATTCGGATCTAGCCTAATTCGTATTACAATATGTACGCTAATATGTATTATAAATGTTGCAACGAGATAGAAGAAATACTTTCTAAAAACTACTATTATTAAATTGGTCAACGTATGTATAATTTCTGATTAATCCTGATTTATCCTTGCGATTAACATCTTTATAAAAAATGCAGAATAGAAATAAACATAAAATTTACATAATTATCTCATCACTAATTATATTCACATAATTTATCTCATCGCTAAATATAAATTTTAATTTATAAATTTTATAATTTAATGTCAAATCTAAAATTACATTATTCTTTACGTATCTTTGATCATAACAATCTTACATTCTTATCATACATTATCTATCTCAAACGTTTTCATATAGAAAGTCTATGATATAAAATTTAAATTCAAGATTTAAATTTAAAACATTTAAAACTAAAATACTTTATTTTTTATATAATTCGATTAATATTATTCAAGCTCAATTTTCAAATTATTTTCTTGACATAAAAAGAAAGAAATTGATGATCAAAAGAAAAGAAATTGATTTGCGTGCAAATTCACAATATTCTGAAAATATTCTGTAATCATCATAAAAAATCAACCGCAAGTATAAATTGAATGAATAATTGTCATAATTCGTCGATTTTGAATGCCATTGTATGTTAATCGATTTTGATAAAATCCAGATAATATTCGATTATTAAAACGGAAGTGATTCGGGCTTTTCCACAACTTTGAAGATATTGGACAGTTCATCAACTAATGTTTCATATCGATAGGCCACTCGGATATCTGGTACATTGGTTCGAGTGATATCATTACCAGCGACTCCTTCTTTTGTATAATTAGGTCCCAACCAGTATTGTTTACTCTGCAAAACAAGAAACTTTTAAATCACATGGCATTCCGTTGAAGTGTATGGAATATTAAATTTGGAGACATTACTATAAACTTGTGTAGAGTACTTGGATCATCAGATTAATTGTATAAAAGCTGTACGTATAAAAGCTGAAGAACCGAAATAATTACTCACTTTATGCGGAAAACCACTCATAAGAACAGAATTGCGTGCTAGTTCGCACATGTCACATGAACTGAGTTTCCACACTTGCGCAGCAATACTGTATTCTTCCATTAGGGGTTCCTAATAAATTAAATTATACCGTACCAATCGTGAGACTAAATATGCCATAATAATTATTTCTAACATTAACAATAAATAACAAATACTCCATTGTACAATTTCTAATATATTTTATGCACCTTAGTAAAATGAAACTGAAGAGGATCGTCCGTAGACAAACTTATGCATAATCCTCTAGCTAGATACTCCGGAAGCGGATTACGATGATAATTTAGGAAAAGCGAGTTATTACTGAGTGGTGACATTGCGATGCCGATTTGTGCCAAGTAATATAGATATTGGAGCACGGGAACTTTTCTGAGCAATAGGCCATGCGAAATGTTTTCCGCCATCATATAGCCGCACACAAGATGTTGAACAGGTCCTGCTTCGCCGCAATGAGGTCTTAGAACAAATGTATTTAAGCCTTGTTCCCTGTTAAAAATTTCATGTCAAGAAATGTAATGTTGAAATGAGACAAAAGAACAATAAAACAAACTGATAACATACGCTCTAAAATGATTGAGGACTGTCATATTTGCATAAGTGTAATACTGGTAATAACCGTATGGTGGATTCTCTATGTCATCCCATTCTGCAGGTGGGCAAACATCTTTATCGAAGAGAGGATTTTCGGGTTTACTTTCATCATCCACGGAATCAAAACCTATTACCTGCAATAATGAAAACGTAAAACGTTTAAAAAAGTATGTAACAATAATAAAAACAGATTAGAAGAATAGGAAAACATACATATTGAAGAAATTTATGTAGCTCCGGGTGAGAATGAGGATCATTGGTCACTTCGAATAACGGTAGGAAAATGTTATTAATAATTTCTTGGAAATTCGTCATGAGTTTGTTTAACTTAAAGATATCACTGCAACATAAAATGCGATGAATGAAAAATCCGTCGAATTTAAATGCTGCGCATACTGTATACGATATAGACTTACTATAATCTAGGAATCTGTATGAGCCAGCGCACATTGTCTGAAGAAACATCGCTCTGAATTGCCCACTTGGCTAGTTTGTCCCATTCCTCTGGACTCTTACCATAGATCGAAAGACGTAACTCTGCGTTCTGGTACTTGGACTCTTCGAGATCGCTTGCAACCTCCTTAATTATCCTTGCAAAATACTTGCCGTTCAGATAGTTGTCGGTCTTGAGGAAAACCTCACGCAAACGACTCTCGCCAATCGGATTGTATTTCGCGTTAAACTTGTCAAACCTGTGAAACGTGTTTCTATCCTGCGAGGAAAAGGTAAAATAACGTACAATTCTTTTCGATACTTTCTTCTTAACATGAATATCGTTCTGGAAGATACTTACTGCATGCACATCCAACATGTCGACGCTCAGATCATAGGTCGTCAGATTCATGGACTGAAAAACTTCGCGGAGCGTCATAGTCTCCCCGTTCTTGGAACATGTGACCACTTCGTCGGCATGATTTTTTAACGTTTTCTTAATAAACCTAAGCAGGTGCTTCTGATTCATGCATGAAGCCGCGTGTATGTGAGTATCGACCTGTTAAATTAATCATATAATAGCGCAACTCGTTCGTACGCCACATTGATGGGTAAGTAGAAAGATTCAATTTAAAATAGCTAGGAATCCAGAGTCTTCTTTAATTTTCTGCTTTGAAGTTGTATTATTCATTTTCTTTACAATAAATATTAATCTTACGGTGATTCCGATTGTTTGCGTACAGACCTTTCTGATATTGTAGAAATCCCTATGCGGCACAGCCTTCTGACTTGCTAGTTCTCTAAGCTCGTTTAACAATACGTGTAATTGATACTTGGAGGAGAGATAACTCAGTCTTCGGTAGCAGAAGGATTTCAGGGGTCCATCGGCGATCATGGCGCATAGCAGGTTCATATCTTGGACGAAGGCTGCCAGGTCCGGATATGAATATGGGAGTGATTTACCGTTGGCTAGGTCCTCGTCATTGGCGAACAAGTTGAACACGCCATTGACTGGCACAATCTTGTAATTCTTCGCTGGTGGAAATTCGCATTCCCATGGATCGCCTCGAGACGCGGGCGCGTGTACCGGATGATCTGTTGATAATTGATTGAGACATTAACGAGACATCGTTTAGCGAGCCAATCGTCTGTTGCCGCAGCGCTGTTTATTTTCGCAACAAAACTATCTCGCACATGGTAAAGAGACTCTACGGTGATTAAGAAGTAGCTAGTACGTGACTCGAAACAGCGTGCAACAGGAAATTCAAGGTAAGGATATTAATAGGTACTAGGAGGACCTGTCCGAGAGACGTCTTTGATCAGCGCATTGATGTCCGCGTCCGATTGAGCACCACTGATTTCGTTCACAATATCCAGCGGCCCTTTCCCTTAAGAAATACGTAATAAGACTGATATCGTATAGTTTTCACTAACTCATACGTTTAGTCGTGCTTAATACACTAACTAAAGCTGTGCTTTGAATGAAGCTCTGCACGAGGAGCCCCGCGTGATTAGACACGCGTCGCTGCGTCCGACGAAAGAAAAAAAAAAAAGGAAAGAAAGAAAGAAAGAAAGAAAAAGAACTACACAACACACGAATGATAGCTTGACGTTATTGCCATTAGCGTTTGAAGCGTTTAAACGTTAATGTTAATTACATTGGAATGTTTCGTAAGATTATAAATCACGTGTTTCTATGATAAACAACGACACGAGGGAAGGACATCTAATACGGGATACGGATGGCGAAGGTACGAAACATGAGATTGAATTTTCAATATGTGACTTTGAACCGTTTCTCAATTAATGACAACTACCTTTGATGGCCTTGCGATCATCGTGATGAACCTCGTCGTCCGTGGTGAGTGGCCTTTTATCGATACTACGTAAGAATCTAGAAGTAATAGTGGGGAAGCTCTGTTTGGAGTTGTTCATATGTTTTTCACGAATCGCTAATGCCTGCACCAACATCTTGGAGGCCCTTTGAAGATCTTCCAGAGGTACCTATGTATTTTTAAAGACAAAGCGCAATAATGTAAAATCAATCGAAAGTAACGAATCATTCATCGCAACGAAAGTAAGAGACACAAAACGACGAAATAAGAAATATAACTTTAGTGATATTTTGATAATTTTCCCGATGATTAGATGTTTATCAATTATAAAAATTCTCATTGTGTAATAAAACAACGTCTAATATGTATATCTAATTTGATACATAAAAATATACATATATAGAAATTTAATAAAATATATTAAATTATAAATTATAAAATATATTATATTAAATATTTTATAATATTAATATATTAAATTATAAATTATAAAATATATTAAATAATAAAATATATAATTTATACAAATTCTCGAAATATTTAAATATTAATTTTATATTACGATTATGAAACTAGATTAAAAGTATTTATTATAGATTAATACGGATGAAGGAAGGAGGGGCAAAAGCCTAGATGGCCGAGGGTTTCTTGCGTAACTCCTTGCAGTCCCAAGGTTTCCACTTCACACAAAATCTCCTGGGACACATTATACATAATAGTTACTCACGAAACCATAAAGTTTAAGTTACATCGTGTCGATACTTAATAATATCTCACAATTATTATTTCTCGGGAAATATTTTACCGAAAACCATCTTTTTTTCTATTTTAATCAATTATAATAAACTTGATAAATCAAATTTTTATTTGATTATTATATTTTTATTATGACAAATTATAATCATAATAAGAATATTCATTAAATGATGTAATAATTTATATTTGTAAATTTTCGAATCATCTTAAGCAGCATCTTAAGTTCTTAAGTAAGCATTAATAAATACAATAATTATCGTTCGTATTTTTATTATCATAAAAATAATTATGAGAATTGTAAAGCATTTATTAAGTTTCTAAACTTTTAATATTCTCCAAATATAAATTGGCTAAAATTATCAACAATTTGAGACTCACCCCGGAAGTATCCTCGCCGGATATGGAGACTCGTTGAAAATGAGGCACAAAGTCATTTTCTTCAATTTTGAAGCTATGGTCGATGTCATCGGGAACTCCTGGGTGAAGTGATGGTTCATAATGACTGCGACGTTCTTCAAGATCTCTTGCAGCTCTGTCAAATAAGAGAGGAAACCATTGATTAATCATTGATTAATTCTTCTTTACACAAAATAAAATTTCACAATGAGATATGTTTTTATATACGAAATGAATTGCAATTATTTTTCGAAACATCAAAAGTAGATTTCTTATTTGAATCTAAAATGAAGATATTGCAGCTTTTAATTCTCGATATCAAACATTTCATTTTATATTAATAAAAAGTAGCATTTTTATTAATATAAACTTTATTAATATAAAACGAATAATAAAATATTGATATCCATTTGCAATTCTAAAGCTTGGATACTTGACCTCATTTTTATTTTATCTTATTTTTAGATTTAAATAAGGAATTTTCTTTTGAATTGTTATGCCGTAATTGCTGTCCTCTGTAGAATAGTATCTGAAATCTTATATAAATATAATTTCGATATAGAGGAGAATTTATAGTTAATTTCACGAGTTACAACAGGAGGCAAATAAAATACATTTTTGTGGTCGAGAGTCTCCAATTGCGAGAGAGGAGCATTAAATTCGACGAGAAGTAGTGATAGAATATTTTGTACACTTTTAACCCGAGAGTTATCGACGAATATCGAATCAATATTTTTTTTTATATGCATGTGAACAAATTAAAAACTTTGTATAACCGCTTTTAATTAACGCATCACGCACATTCTATGCTTATCTGTATATCGATTTATTTCCTTGTGTTTATTACTGCATAATATTATCGAGATGAAGTCATAACATACTAAAAATAATATCTCCGATTGTTCTCGAGAAATATTGAATCCGTTTACAAAATGTATAGCGTGAAATAAAAAGAGATTTATTTTTAAATATCTTTGAAGTACAAAGATAATAAATTAAAAAATTTAAATTAAAATATAAAAACTGGAATGTTAATTATATGAAATATATATAATTGAAATATTACTATAATATTAATAAAAATTAATATATATTAATATCATAGTTAATATATAGTATACATAGTATGACATTTCTGAATAGTACTATCAACGCTATCGAAATTAATAATTCAATTATCTATATTTCTAATTACGGTATTTAAATTCATCACGCACTGCTAAATAATATCGCACGTTTGTTCCAGATATGATTATGTAACAGTCAGCACATAATAATAATTTATTATCTATAATAATATATACTGGACAAATGCAAATAATAGATTAAATCGATAATCGGTTGAACTAGCAACAAAATTCGGTCTACGTTCATGAGAATTGAAAAAAAAAAAACAAGCGGTAAGCTGACTCGTCGGTAAGCTCAAAATACGAATTACCTCAAAAGAATTCTATTATCCCTCGTCCATCGTTTCGACTCATTCGCGCCGGCGAACATGTCACGCGATCGATGCCACGTGCTGCAGATCGATTGCACTCACGTGCGAAATAAATCAGGAAAATGCGGAAGTGCAAGCCGAATGACGTGACGTTGATTCGTGCTGCGTTTTTTCTTCACGTTCATTTGGTAGACCCCCGCGAGTTTTCACGAATGCGATACACGATGGGATTCCATTGTGGAAGATGGTCTCTATTTATAACAATCCCGTAAAGCAAGCAACTATCGATGAATCACATCCGTTTCAATTTAATAAACGTTCTTTCTCGATCGCGTCGCCCGATTTCCGGTAACCCGGACGGAAATCTCCGCGATTTTTCATGATTAGTCGCTCGGAACACCCGATAAGTTCTCTTTACGAAAGCTAACAGAGCGCGATGGGAGTCATGTGATCCTTTCCCGGTTTCTTCCACAGTCTCATGCATATATTTCACTATCCTACGACGTTCTATTAAAAAAGGTAAAAAAAAAATACCTTCGTTATACAAGAAAAAAAACTTTTATATAAAAGATTTTATATAAAAGATATCAAAATTTGACGTCAATTTATAAAATTTAGTCTTTCATAAAATCTAATATATTGTTGTGTCTTGTGTATGTACATATTGCACTATTTTGTCATATTGCACTATTTTGTCTATTCCGTTTGAAAATCTAAAATATATAAACAAGAGTTTTAAGATCAAATTGGCATGTACAAACTTGCGCTCGGGTCGTATTAAGATTACTCTGATTAATTAATGAAAAGACGCAATAAATTGATATATGTGACAGACGTATGTAATAGTATAGTTAAATTAAATATTATCAAATTAAACAAAATTAAATAAATTTCAATATTTATCTATATTCGTAAAATTATCACATTTCTTAATATATTATTTTCTAACTTTATCTTTCTGTAAATCAAATTCGAGACACATCTCTAGAAATTTGAAAAAATAATAATAATTTAATTTCTCGAAGAACATTTATTTACTATATTAATATAAATTATGCGTTATAATACTATATGCGTAATTATATGTGTTTGTCTTAACAACTTAAATGCATCAAGTTTTTGTATGTCAGTTTGATCTTAAAATCGCTTTATAAATTTTAGGATTTGAAATAAAATGCATAACAGAAATTATTTCGATTTAATTGTTAAACATTCGATTTTCGATATTAGTTTCGATATAATTGTTAAACCTCCACTATTTCACAACCAGAAATCACGTGCGTTTTGCAAAAAATATTCCGCATTGAATAAAAATACACGGAGAGGAGTAAAAAAAAATATCTCATTAAAATAAATTGCAGAGAAAAAGAATAAATTATATATCGTTCGATACGCAGGTAAAATTAATTCATTCGTGGAGAAACAGATAAAAAATTCATGAATGTAATGAATGCATGATTTGTAGATACTATTTTTGTTATGATATAATTTAATTTTTCAATTATTAAACATTACGCTATTTTGTATAGCCTTTGCCAATATTTTTCCATTTTATATCGCGCACTAGAGCGATCCAACTTGGTTGACAAATAATTGCGGGATGTGGTGAAAGAGTGATAACAAAACTTGGCGGAAAGTAATAGTAACGTTGTATATGACGTTGCAGTAAACACGTTTATCACACCTTTATATGTACCTGCCTGCGCAACACAATAAATCTCTCTTAAATGTAACTAAAAAGTTTATAGAAAAAAAAAATGGCAGATGCTATCAATTCACAGCGAATTACCTTTCAAATTTTGAAAATTTGAAAGTCTAATTTACTTCAACTTGAATCATTTAGTAGAAATATTATAAACATGAAAATATTGTAAACATAATATTGAACATGAACATTGTCTCTTATTATGATCTCTGAAATGCGAAACCTACGTACGATAACTTGCCTATGGCCATAAATAAAAAAAAAGCATTAAATATCATTTTTTTTTAATTTCCTTTTCCATTCCTTGCTAATCTCTGAATCATCCAACTATTATCTACGAAATTTGAATCTGGCGTTAGCAAGCAAATAAACAAAAATTGGTGAAAAATGCAGGATTAATAAATCTCATGGATTAAAAATCGAATGAATTTAATCGAATGCTTGGAGGATTTCTCAAATTGCGTATTGCACGTTTCTGCGTCATCGATGCTGTTGACGCGATATTTGTCGCAAATTAGAAGCGTCCCTCTTCAATTGACTTCACTCGCCAGCATCGGACGATCTCGTTCTCGTCCATGGTGTCGCTCGCATAAAGATTAAAGTACCGTTGTGCGCTGATTATATCGCGTTTAAACGCGTCACTATATCACAGCTCTCACGCTATACCATTTTCATGAATCGAATATGTGATGGTGCCGTTGCATTGCAGTACAGCTTATGAGCTCCAGCTTAATGTAATTGCATCGCGGGAAATAAAGGGATCAATAAGTCTCAAAATCTCTTATTTACAAATCAATTCGATAGAGAGATATTTAAAATAATCTAAACAGAGTTCGTCATTAACTGGCGAACTAGATATCTTTGTATTAAACCAACGAATGTTTACCGCAATTATCACAATGTCTAAAAAAAATGTAAAAATCGAATTTATCATAAAATATGTATTTCCCGTATCCGGAAAATAATTAAATTAAGTCATCTTTGTGCGTCCATCACGTGACACCAATTTTTCGCGGGACCCGCAGTTACGTTAGAATATTAACACTACACGTCGCTCGATCGATAATCGAACTCGTTATAGTTTCGTCAGATTCCGGTAATTTAAGGTGATTTCAAAATAATTAAGGTAATCTCTGTAATCATATCGACAACGATTTTAGCGCGAGATCCATTTTTTTTTTTTTCATATCTCCAGATCGCCGGTTATTATTATCGGTTTCGACAGCACGACGCAGCGGCACACGAGTTTATCGTGCGTGAACGATACCTAAAATCTCCTCCACGCGCATGCAACTCTTTGCGATCGTGCCGGAAGTCGCGTATGCCGACGAGTGTACGTCCGGTATCCACGACGGTCGCACGAGCACTGAACGGGCGGCCGAGGAGGGCGGTTGATCGCGCGAGTAACTCTTTCGATTTACCCCCGTCTACCCCTGCTCCAACTCCACGTTTTGTCGCACTCTGCGATTGCATGTAAAGACGGCCGTTACATGGTTTCCGCTTACGTGACGTAACTTCTTTACACCGCATGTTGTATCCTTTGTGCATGATAAACGCGTCATGGAAATGTAAATGTGTGGCATATGCGGCGCGTGTTATGTCGTCCATTAATTAATCGCGTAGGCTTTCGCTAAAATTTATTCGTTGAGTCATTATTTTTTTCTCGACGTTACCAACGATGTCGCAAATGTATATTAACGCTTTTACGAGTAATATCGGTAACTGTGATACGCTTTAATATCGTGAGTACCTCCAGTTCACGGTAACAAATATGAACGGGAAAAGCTTTCTTGAATATAAGCTTATTGGCTTTTGTTTCACGAAGACCAGGTACGATCGATTTTTGAGGTGGAGGTCATTATACGGGGTGTTTCGCAACAAGTAAATATTCGTAATAAGGTTTGCACTCACAAGAATGACTCTAAAAGTCTCTCTCTCTCTCTCTCTCTC